GGCGCCTTAGCCGGTTGAGCTATAGGCGCCGAGCCGCCACTTGATTTTTAACAAAGGGGCCAAGATAATTCAATGACAAAAGCACTGTCTTTCCAACAAATGGTACTGGTACAACTGGCCATCTAAGTACAAAGAAACAAATTTGGACCACACCACACACAAAAAATTAGCTCCAAGTGGGGTTGGTATGGTGGCCCACACTTGTAATCTGAGCCATTTGGGGGGCTCAGATGGCTCGGTGCCTATAGCACAGTGGTTATGGCGCCAGCCACATACACCAAGTGTGTCAGATTTGAGCCTGGCCCCAGCCAGCTGAACAACAATGACAACAACAACAAACTAGCCAGATGTTGTGGGGGGACCCTGCAGTCCCAGCTACTTGGGAGGCTGAGGCAAGAGAATCGCTTAAGCCCAAGAGCTGGAGGTTGCTGTGAGCTGTGACACCACAGCACTCTACCAAGGGCAACAGAGTGAGACTCTGTCTCAAAAAACAACAACAATAATAATGATTAAACCACAATGAGATAACTATATCACAACCACTAAACAGGCTATAATTTAAAAAAATAAAAAACAGGCTATAATAAAGAGAACCACAAATTTTGGCAAGGAGAATTGGAACCCAGTTTGCTGCTGGTGGGAATGTAAAATGGTATAGCTGCTTTGGAAACGAGTCTGGCAGTTCTTCAAAATAAACATAGAATGACAAGACCCAGCAACTCCACTTCAAGGTATCAACCCAAGAAAAATGAAAATGTGCATATAAAAACTTTGTACACAAATGTTCATGGCTATCCTTAATAGTCCCCAAATAGAAAAGGCCTAATGTCCAAGCTGATGAATGGGTAAATAAAAGGTGGTTTATCCATACAATGGATGTTATCCTACAATAAAAGAGAATGAAGTACTACAACATGAACAGAGCTCAAAAGTTTAGTTCTTGGCTCGATGCCTGTGGCTCAAGTGGCTAAGGCGCCAGCCACGTACACCTAAGGTGGTGGGTTCGAATCCAGCCCGGGCCGCCAAACAACAATGACAGCTGCAACCAAAAAATAGCCGGGCATTGTGGCGGGCACCTTGGTCCCAGCTACTTGGGAGGCTGAGGCAGGAGACTTGCTTGAGCCCAGGAGTTGGAGGTTGCTGTGAGCTGTGATGCCATGGTACTCTACCCAGGGGGACAGCTTGAGGCTCTGTCTCAAAAAAAAAAAAAAGGTTTAGTTCCTATGTGAAGGAAACCAGCCACTGAAGACCACATAGTGTATGATAACATTTATGTGAAATGTCTGGAATAGGCAAATCCATAGAAACAGGAGGGAGATTGGTGGGTGCCAGAGGTTGATGCTGGATGGGCTTGGGACAGGTTACAATGCGGGGGAGGTGTGACTGCCAGTAGGCACAGGGGTTCTTTCTGGGATGATGAAAACATAAAGTTAGGTTGGCAATGATTACATAATTCTGTGACTATACTAAAAGCTATTGTATATTTTATTTATTAATTTTTGGAGACAGTCTCATGTCACCTTCAGTAGAATGCTGTGGCATCATAGCTCACAGCAACCTCAAACTCGTGGGCTCAATAGATGCTCTTGCTCCATCCTCCCAAGTACTGGGGACTACAGGCACCCACCACAATGCCTGGTTACTTTTATTTTATTTTATTACTTATTGGGACAGAATTTCACTTTGTTGCCCTTGGTAGAGTACTGTGGTGTCATAGCTCACAGCAACCTTAAACTCTTGGGCTCAAGTGATCACCGTGTCTCAGCCTCCCTAGTAGCTGGGACTACAGGTACCTGCCACAACACCCAGCTATTTTTAGAGACAGGATTTTTCTCTTGCTCAGGCTAGTCTCAAACTCATGAGCTCAAGCAATCTACCCTCCTCAGCCTCCCAGAGTGGTAGGATTACAGGTGTGAGCCACCACACCTGGCATATTTATTTATTTATTTTTGAGATAGTCTCAAGCTGTTGCCCTGGGTAGAGTGCTATGGCATCACAGCTCACAGCAACCTCCAACTCCTGGGCTCAAGCGATTCTCTTGCCTCAGCCTCCCAAGCAGCTGGGACCACAGGCGCCTACCACAACACCTGGCTATCTTTTGGTTGCAGTTGTCATTGTTGTTCGGTGGGCTCAGGCTGGATCCAAACCTGCCAGCTCTGTTGCATGTGGCTGGCGCCCCAGATGCTTGAGCTACAGGCACTGAACCTATTTATTTTTTAAGACACAGTCTCACTCTTGCCCCAGGCTAGAGTGCCATGGAATCATCATAATTCTCAGCATCTCAAACCCCTGGACTCAAGCAATCCTCTTGCCTTTGCCCCAAGGTAGCTGGGACTATAGGTATATGCCACAATGCCCAGCTAGTTTTTCTGTTTTTATTTTTATGTTTTCGCTTTAATTTTTTTTTTTTTGAGACAGTTTCATTTTGTCACCTTTGGTAAAGTGCAGTGGCATCATAGTTCACAGCAACCTTAAACTCCTGGGCTCAAAAGATCCTCTTGCCTCAGCCTTCCCAGTAGCTGGGACTACAGTCACCTGCCACAATGCCTGGCTATTTTTAGAGACGGGGTCTGGCTCTTGCTCAGGCTGGGTCTCGAACTGCTGAGCTCAAGCAATCCACCCACTTCACCCTCCCAGAATGCTAGGATTACATCTGTGAGCCACCGTGACTGACTGAATTATACACTTCACTTTATTTTTTTTTTTTTTGAGACAAGAGTCTCAAGCTGTTGCCTGAGTAGAGTGCTGTGGCGTCATAGCTCACAGTAACCTCCAACTCTTGGGCTCAAGTGATCGTCTGCCTCAGTTTTTCTATTTTTAGTAGAGATGGGGCTCTTACGTTTGCTCAGGCTGGTCTCGAACTTCTGAGCTCAAGCAATCTCCCTGCCTCAGCCTCCCAGAGTGCTAGACTACCCACAGGCATGAGCCACTGTGCCTGGCCTGAATTGTACACTTTAAGTTGGTAGGGCGGTGCCTGTGGCTCAGTGAGTAGGCCGCTGGCCCCATATACCGAGGGTGCTAGGTTCGAACACTGCCCTGCCCAAACCGCAAAAAATAATAATAAATAAGTTGGTAAATATTACAGTAAAAATCTCAGTAAAATGGGAGGGGAGACAGGCCTAGGGCATTCTTTGGAAGAAATTCCTCCCTCCTCTGGCTAACAAGAGCCAGGGAGGGAACAGGGCCAGTGGGTTCTTGGCTAAGCTGAATTCTCAGAATCTGGTGGCCTTTGGGCTGCTTCCAGCCCAGCCAGCTAAAGATAGGCTGAGTGTGTGGGAAGTCCCAGTGCCTTAAGGCAGGGTGAGAAACAGGATGAATTTGTTGCTCCTGTTTTTAGGGGGCATCCCCTTCACCCCTTATTATGAACTCCCTGGACCTCAGACATCTGCTGATGGAATCTGTGCCCCCATCCAAGGAATGTCCCTTCTCTTGAGATCCTGGAATCAGTGTGGTAGAAGGTGCCTTAGGCCTGCTTGGCTGGAGGAGTCCCAGCCTTCTTAGAGATAGGGTACAATTCCAACACTATCTTCGCTGGGTGGGACAGTGCTTTTGTCTGCCCCAGATTAGGAGTTGAGACCCCACAAAAAGCCTTGGGTAGAAGGGGCATTGGAGCTCAAAACCAGCTCTCAGCTTTCACCCTTTCAGCTCCGAGTGACCTGTCTGCCTCCCGGATTCTCCTGCCTACCCAACACATGCCCTGGGTGTGGCTGCTCTCTGGTGGCCAGACAGGGAAGTACATGTTCCTTTTCAGGCTTGGTTGGGGGAGAATCCTAACCAGGATGTGAGACTGTCATAGAGAAGCAGCAGCTCTGGGTGTATACTAGGGCTGACAGACAGTCTGGCCAGGAGCAAATGATGAGGTAAGATGGAGAGCAAAATGCCCCACCAACTTGCTTCGCAACATTAATTGAAAAAGTAGGCTCGGCGCCTGTGGCTCAACCGGCTAGGGCGCCAGCCACGTACACCTA